TTCAACCTGCCTTCAGTGGGTGGTAGTCATAGACACTCAATAAAATCAAAGTGCTGTAAATGATGCAATGTAAAAAAGAATAGTATGAAAAAGGCAGTGAAATTGAACATAAGCTTAGAAGCACTCATTTCTTCATTTTACATAGCACATACAAGTAGTAGAGGCTCAAGAGAAAAGACTAAGGGGGATAGATCAATAAAGAGGAGATTACAGAAATTTTCTCAGGAAGAGTTGAGCACCCCCCAAAAAGACCTTTAGATACTGTCCACTTCAAAATAAAACAAACATACACATAGTTAAACCTTCTTGCTGCCCATAATGCTAAAAAGAAGCTCGCCATTAAAGTGTTACTTATGCATACAGAGAAATTTATCAATATTTTAGGGTCCCATTTTTTCATATGAGTAGAAAACAAGGAATGCTCCCAAACACCTTATAATTAATATTTTCAGAGACAGAAAAAATGATATTGTATTCATGAAATAAGAAAAGATACTACTTAAAAGTAACTTATACAGAATAAGAACAAGCTATTAGAAATTAAAATATGATAAATAGATTTTAAACTTCAATAAAAATTTTGAAATACAAAGTCAAAAAAATCTCCCAGAAAGTAGAACACTAAAAACAAAATATGGAAAGTAGGACAGAAATAAAAGTTATAACAATATTTTACTAAAGGGAGTGCCAGTGGGTGAAAAAAAATGAAAACAAAACAAAATGAAAACAAGAAATAACAAAAAAATTCTAAAAATGTTCCCTAATCTGAAGCACATGAATTTCCATATCCAAAAGTCCCAACAAGTACCCAGGTCAATGCATGAAAAATGTTCTAAGGCAAAGCCACAGGGAAAAGAGAAGATACTAAAATATCTCAGAATGAGAGAGAGAGAAAAAGATAAACAACATTGCATCAAGGATTAGAATATCATGGATTAGTCCATAGCACCACTGGAAGGCAAATACCACCAACATTCTGAGAGAACTTACACTTCTACATACAAGCAATCTATCAATTAGCTGCAAGGGTAAGAAAAATAGATATTTTAAGACATTTAAGGACTCAAAAATTCATTTCCCAGGCACCCTTTCTTAGGCACCTTCTGAAGGATCTGTTCTAGCAAAAATTAGGAAATAAACTAAAACAGACAAAGACTTGGAATCAAAGTAATAAGGAGAACAGCAAAGGAAAGACTTAAGATTTTAAAGTAAAACATAGCCCTGGCCAGGTGGCTCAACTGGTTGGAGTGTCTTCCCATACACTGAAACGCTGCGGGTTCGATTCCCAGTCAGGGCACATACCTAGCTTGTGGGTTTCATCCCCAGTTGGGGTACCTACAGGAGGAGATCGATGTTTCTCTTTCACATCAAAGTTTCTCTCTCTCTCCATCTCTGTCTCTAAAAATAATAATAAATAATAATAATAAAATAAACAGGTCATTTCAGAACCACTGACTAGAGGGCCTGGGAAGGAAGTCATAATAATGTAAGCAGAGAATATTAATTTAACCAAGGAGTGGGATGTAACTACATTGTGAGGAAAGATGTCAAAGTCCAAAACTCTATTTTCTCTTAATAGTAAGTCAATACATAATGTTTAAAAATAATAAATATACACAGAATGAGAATATTATTTGGAAATATGTAGATCAATATCATAAAAAAGAGCTAAGGGGGTTGAAAGCGATTCTTTGGGGGAAATAAACCAAAGCATAAGGTTAAATGGGTCAGAAAACTAGAGTTTTCGTTGTAAGTCTTCTTGGATTATTTGATTTTTTAAGTTATTTGCTGTATTTATTTATTTATCACTTTAATAAAACAATAAACTGTTAAAATAAGGTTGCATAAATAATACAGGTTTAAATACGTTATTTAAAGCCATGAAGATAAGTAACCAATAAAAGAAAAAAAAATTAAATGAGACTGACCAATAGAGAGAGTGCGAAGAGGGAAAGTAGGAGCTAGATTGATCATTTTGCAGCAGGAAATCAAAATATATGACTTAGAGATAAAAAGTCAAATGATATAGTGTGCATCTTCTTCAGAGGGATCAAGCTAATCAGCAGAAACCCCAAAACAGTAGGACTGAGGCACAAAAAGAGGAGAATTTTATTTTTACTTTTAATCAACCCCTCTGTAAGGTTTGAATTCTTGTTTGCACATAGATGTATTACTCCCATCATTGTAATTCTGTGCAATTAATTTAAAATTAAGGAAAAAAATTCACATCAGTGTGAAAATGCCTCCACACT